TGCTTCAGTCCCTTTCACTTTATTAGCTCAATTCCTCAATTTGGGAATTGCAGGGATCAGATCCTGCTCCTGGCCCACATCTGCTCATACAACATCCAACCCAGAGCTGCTTCACTAATTGAAGCTGATTCATTAATTCAGGTTTCTCTGTTAATAAAACACTGGTGACCACCTGACTCAGGGACATTCATGGGATGCGGGGACAGGAAAATGGGAAAATCTCTGCTTGTTTAGCGGCAGCTCATCCCTTCTTTTTCCGTTGTCTTCTCCGGAATGAGGACTTGTGCTGTCCAGTGAGGGAAATAAATGACCCCCAGCAGCTGCGAGTGCTGATCCTCGAAATCTGCGGAACCCACTTAAATGAATAATAATTAAAGAAATAAATTTCCCCAAGTGCAGCCTCAAAACTTTCGGTTCAGCAATAAAGCCAAGGAGAGACTCGGAAAATGAATCGCTCGGCTCTTTCCGAAGGAGGCTGCAGTGGGCGAGGTGGGATGATAATGGGAAATATTAAAGGAGCCAGCGTGGTTTAAGGAAGCCTTTTCCAGGTCGTGTGGGAACAGGCTGAGAAGAGGTTTTGTGGTGATGCTGACCCCTGAGGGATAATAGGATTGAGCAATCCCAAAATCATGGAATTGAGAGGGAAGGAGCCAAGCGATTGAGGAATCTCAAAACTGAGGGATTGATCTCGAAAGGGGCCAAGGGATTGATTCTAAAGGATATAAGGAATTGAGTAATCCCAAAGAAAAGGCTCTGAGATTCAAGGGGACATGGAATTGAGCTCAAAAGGGGTCAGGAGCTGAGGAATTGTATTCAACCCAAGGAATTGTACTCAATGAACCAAAGGACTTAGCTCCAAAGGGATAATGGACTGAACAATCCCAAAAACCATGGGATTGGTGAGCAAAAACTGGAATGACCCGGTTGTGGTCATCCCCAGTTTGGAGCACTGGGCAGTGGAGCTGATCACCTGCCTGCCATTGCCTGGGCAAACCCCTGGTTGGTTCCCTCTGTGTGTAAGATTTCCATGAATTATCCTTGACTTGGGATAGTGGAAGTAGAGGGGAAGCAATGGGCTTGATACTCAACACTCATTCTAACTATGTTCCCACCCTCTTGCCCATCTCTTGGCCCTACCACACCCCAACTCTGAATATCTTCCTTTTTTTCTGCCTGTTTCAGTTTTCTTCTGATTGCTTCCCTCCATGAGGAAGTTTTCTGCAAATTATCCCTGATTTGGGATTGTGGAAGTAGATGGGAAGCAATTGCCTTGATACTCAATACTCATCATGCTAACAGTGTTCTCAGTCTCTTGACCATCATCCCTTGGTCCTGGCTCACCCCAGCTCTGGATTTCTCCCTTTTCTGGCTTTCTCTCTCTCTCTTTTTTTTCTTCTTTTCCCCAGTTTTTACAACTTTTCCACCATTTAAAAAAGTAAGTAATTGGATAAGATGCTCCAAGAGACCTTTCCATAAGATGAAGTCCTGATCCTTGAGCGGTCAATAACGTCCTTCCTAAATAAATAAGCAGATGATAATTAACTATGGTATTTCCAGCCAATTTTAAACTCAAAGGAATAGCTGGAATGTTGTTTTCGGGGTGTGTTTGTTGCATCCCAAGGCCCTGCATGATGGGGAGCTGAGCAGGAGTGTTGGATTGGATGGGAGCATTCCTGATATCCATGTGGGAATGCTGGAAAGCACCAAGTGTTGCTCCTGAGTGCAGTTCCTGGGCTGCCAAGGGAAATCTCTGCCAAGCTTTCCCTGGAGGAGAAGGACCTTGAGCCTCGAGCTGTGTTTTGGGGTTATGGAAAAAAAACCCCATGATGCTGGAGATGGATCTGGGTCTGCTTGAGCTGAGTTTTAGGATTAAGGATATGAAAAGGTCCTAATTAATTTATGGATGTTGGTGCAGGGGTGCAGCATCCGACCCACTTGTTTTAAGAATTTTTTTTTTTTGTTCAACAAGGATAAATTGTGCCTTTTCCCCTTTTCCATCAAAAGCTGGAATTCCAAACGTCGAGCCGAAGGCTGCGGAAAACACCGCGGGACTGCTTGGCTGTGGATTCCTTCCTAAAAAAAAAAAAAAGAAGGAGTTAGGCTGTAGCCCCTGCTATTAATCATAGCTGTAATCATGCATTTAATGAACATGACAGCTCCCGCTCCCTCCGGAGAGACGCGCGGAGTCTCCCGGCTGGATTGGGAACAACAATCACTTCTCACCGCGAGCCACCGGAGCTGCCAGCGTCGGGCTGGGATGATGCATTAAGAGAAACAACCCTGTTTGCACGGGCTGTGGGTTTCCTTACGGATGATGCTCTCCCAAGCGACTGAATCATCAGGAAAGGGGGAGAGGAATCCACCTGTCCCTTCCACGGGGTGGAAAATATCCCGGCTGACACCGCTGTGCAGGGTGTAATCACTTCAAAAGCTCTCCGTGTGCAGTTCTTGATGCTCTCTGTAGCAGCTTTTCTTATTTTCCTGCTTTTTTCCCCCCACTCTCCTTGGAGCATGCACATGGGAGGAATTTGCCATGGCATCACTTTAAATTTCCATAGTGAGGGACTTTGGCAATGCCAAGGATGTGGGAGTTGCTCTCCTGATCCGACAGCACCTCTGTGTCCGGATGTTCTTCCCGGCTGGGAAGCAATTGAGGAGAAAAACGGGACAGATCTGGGACTGGGATGTGCCCAGTGTTTTCTCTGGACCAAACAAGACTTCCAAAGTCAAGCCCTGGGGCCATCGTTTCAGCTTTTTGTTTAATTTAGGCCAGACTGCAGCAAATTTCGGCTCCTGATGTTGGAATTTAACCCTTATCCCATTTTCTAGTGTCTTTTGATGTCCCAGTTTCACCCCAGTTTCAGTAATATACACTCCAATGCCAGGAATATTTATTTATTAATGTACTTATTAATACAAATCTCTCGTAGTGACTAGCTGGAAATTCTGAGTTGACAACCACCCTAAAAATCCAAATTTAGACTCTTTGGACCTCCTGAAAAGTCGGGAACATCCAACCCCCTCTCCTGCACCCCCTTCTTGTTACTTGGATGTACACAAAGCTTTTACTTTTATTTAAACTTTTTTTTTCCACAATGCAAGAGCTTCCAAAAATATCCTCATAACCCTGAGTTTTCTCCATAAATCCCAATGGATGGGGAAGTGTTTAATTATGGAGCTTTCTTGGCTTGGCTCCTCCTGGAGGAAGGAATATTTGGGTGATTTTCTAAGAGTTTGGGGAGGATTTGCACATGGGGTGAATAATTAGGGAGTGGGAAAATGTGGATGTTGCCAGACCCGGATGGATCTCACACGGATTTTGTCATGGATGGGACCAGCTCTTGGATAGTTAAACTGCCTTTGGGATGCGAGTTAATTCCTGGAACGGGAGATGCACATCATGTTATTTTATGGCTTCTGATTAGAAGATGAAAACTGAAGAAAAATAGCCCCCCCCCAAAAAATTTTGTTGATGTATTTTTGCTGCATAAAAATTCCAACACACTGGCAGGAGGCTGTTGACCCCTTTATTTATCCTCCGTCTCTTTAGTGATTCCTCCTTTCTGGCCAAGATGACCTGTAAGGACCCTTCCAGCCCTAACCATTCCATGATTCTGTGATTCCAAACTTTTTCATCCCCGTGTATCTGCTTTTATCCCCAAATATTAAGCATTTAGAGGGATTGTGTGCTGCCCTCAGGAGCTGATTCCTGGTGTAGTTTTAAGGAATATTAAACAGAATTCCAGAGGGCTGAGGACGCTCCAGCCCTATCCTAATGGATTTTAATTTGGGGCTTTCTCCCCACATCATTTGGGAAGTCAACCTTGCTCTTAATGGACACCCTTCAGCAGCGTCTTCAGGACATCCCAAAGTTGATGAATGTTTATTGAGGCACTAAAAAAGATGCTCCTACAGCTTGGGATGGGAAGGAATTTAATAAAAAAAGGAAAAAACCATCTCGGTGGTGGCTCAAATGCCCCGTTGATGGAATTTGATGTGCAGAGGGAACAGATGGGGCTTCGCCGACGCCGGCAGCCGAGTGACAGCTCGCGGTGCCGCGCAATCAAATTCCACTCGCTCAACTTCCCAACACGCCCGGGCTGGCAGGTGAGTGACTGAGCTGCTCTCCTCCTACCTGGAAAACTGAAATCCAGCCTTTCTTTCCCATTCGTTCTTCCCTGCACCAGTCAAGGATGATTTAATTCCATGCGTGTACGGATGGGAGCGGGCGCTGAGCTTCCCTGTCCGGCTGCGGGGAGCGGCCAAGCCAAGCATGGAAATTTGTTGGATTGATGGTGGAAGCGTGGGATTTGCTTAGAGAAGTGTTCTGGCACGTTTGGGTGCTGAGGGGAAAAAATTCCTGCTGTGTTTGGGGCTGGCAAGGAGCACTTCTGGGGCTGCTCCAGAGGTGGGAAGTCGCTGAAGGGCGTCTTCATCCGTTGGTTCTCTGGGAGCTCCGTGCTTTGGGTTAAATAAATTCATGGAATCATGGAATGGTTTGGGTTGGGAGGGAGCTTGAAGATCATCCAGTTCCAGCACTCTGCCAGGAGCAGGGACACCTTCCACTATTCCAGGTTGCTCCAAGCCCTGTCCAACCTGGCCTTGGACACTTCAGGGATGGGGCATCCATAGTTTCCCTGGGAAATTTGTGCCAGGGCCTACCCACCCTCCCAGGGAAGAATTTCTTCCCAATATCCCATCTATCCCTGCCCTCTGGCAGTGGGAAGCCATTTCGTTCTGTTTTGCCTCTCCAGGATCTTGTCCAAGGTTCCTCTCCAGCTCTCTTGGAACCCTTTCAGGCAATGGAGGGGGCTCCAAGTTCTCCCTACAACCCTTTTTTTTTCCCAAGCTGAACAACCCCAGATCTCCCAGCTTTTCCTCATAGCAAAGTGTCTCTATCCCTCCGATCATTTTTGTGGACCTAAGGTACTGAGGGCTGTGTGAATTCCTGCAAAATGTCTCGATTCCAAGCAATGATCCATGTTTTTCTCTCTCTCCAGCACTGAGATTGCACTCCACACCCAGTCCTGGGGTCTTTCCACCCAGCCTGAGCAGATCCTCAACGTGCCGCTACATTGCCAGGTCTGTACTCATGGGAAGCAGGAATGATGTGCTCCATCTTTGGAATTATGCTCAGGAAGGAATCAGGAGCTTCTGGAGCAGCTGTTGAGCTGCAGGATGATTTGGTGAAGCTCTGGCTGCTGCTTTTACACAGATTCTACTTCGAGGTGGTTTTAAGCTCAGCCAGAGCTTCCCCACCCTCCCAGGGAAGAATTTCTTCCCAGTATCCCATCTATCCCTGCCCTCTGGCAGTGGGAAGCCATTCCTCCTTTTCCTGCCACTCCAGCCCTTGTCCCAGGTCCCTCTCCAGCTCTCCTGGAGCCCCTTTAGGCACTGGAGGGGGCTCCAAGATCCACCTGGAAAGCCAGGCTGGACATTCCCAACTCTTCCAGTCTGGCTGCAGAGCAGAGGGGCTCCAGCCCTTGGAGCATCTCCATGGTTTCCTCTGGATCTGCTCCAGCAGCTCCACATCCTCCTCCTGTTGGACCCCAGAGCTGGAGGCAGCTCCGCAGGTGAGATCTCACCTGAGTGGGGCTGAGGGGCAGAAATTCCTCCTCTTCTCCTGCCCACGCTGTGGGATGAGCCTGGGACGTTCTGGGCTACCATGGCTGGATCATGTGGAGTTTCTCATCCACCAACTCCCTCGAGTCCGTCTCCTCAGGGCTGCCCTCAATCCATTCCCCACCCAGCCTGGATTTGTGCTTGGGATTACCCACCTCACATCCAGGACCTTACACTTGGCCTTGCACCTCCTTTTAATCCAGGAGCTGCAGGCAGCCAACAATTACAGAGGTAAAAAAGTGCATTTCCTCTGAAAATAAGTTCCTTGAACCTGTGGTTTTCATGGATGATGCACCACATCCTAATCAAACCAGATCTGACTGTTCCCTACCACTGAATTACCTACTTGGAGAGATCTGATGTGCCCCCCATTGTTTGTGTTCACTTCCCCTCTTCACCTGGTCCCACACATCCCAAGAGCTGCTGGATAATTCCCTCTCCAGCTGATGGAAAACGTGTACTAAGCAACTTCTGAGCTCCTTAAGTAGCTTCTAGTGGGACCAGGCAATTAGAAAGGAGCTTTTCTGCTCTTTGGTGGTACTTTTTGTTCCTGTGGCCATCACGCAGGTGCTCGTTCTTTGAGGTTCATGAGCAGGTGCCCACTTGAAGGCCATGAATAGCATCAGGCCCAGCTGGTGGGACGTGTCCTGAAGAGCCCTCCAAGTCATTCAGCCTTGGCAACCTGTGCTGCACAAGGAGAGGATGTTTCCTTCCTCACCATATTCCCCAAGAGTGTGGGAAACCCTCTCCATGCTCAAAAAATCCGAGGAGAAAATGAGAGTTATGGGAGCGGGAAGGGATCTCAGTGGTCACTTTGGTGTTACCTTGCAGATTTTTAATTATTTGGGGTAAAATCAGCCAAAAATTGAAAAGACTTAAGGGCTTATGAGCATGAACTTCCTAAATATTTCACTCTCCAAGGGTGGGCTTCTCTGTGGTTTCAGGTATTGTTGAGGTGTCTTCTCCGTGTCCTTGTGGTGTTGGAGCTGGAGGTTTCCCCTGACCTTGTTTCTCTTTCTCCCTCAGCCGTGCTGTGCAGAGGAGCTTGGCCATCATCCGTCAAGCCAAGCAGAAGAAGAAAAAGAAGGAATATTGTATGTACTACAACCGCTTCGGGAAGTGCAATCGGGGCGAGAGCTGCCCCTACATCCATGATCCAGAGAAAGTGGCCGTCTGCACCAGGTAGGGATGGACACGGAATTGTGGTGAACTGGGACATTGGGTGGCTTTGGTGTTTCCTTGTGGGGTATTCCTAAGGGAAACAAACGGATAATAGAGATGTTAGACAACAGGGATGGGAGTTCTGGGTCAGGTGTAGGTTCTGCGCTGCTGGGTTGGAAGGAGGAGGACAAGAAGAGGCCAGAGAATCATGGAATTGTTTTGGTTGGAAGGAGCATCAAAGATCTTTCCATTTCAAACCCCTGACATGGGCAGGGACACCTTCCACTATCCCAGGTTGCTCCAAGCCCTGTCCAGCCTGGCCTGGAACACTTTCAAAGATGGGGCAGCCACAGCTTCTCTGGTAATTCCATTCCCACCAGCCTCACAGAGAAAAGTATCTTCCTAATATCCTATCTATCCCTCTGGGAAACCATTTTCCTTGTCCTGTCACTCCATCCTTTGTCCCAAATCCCTCTTTGGCTCTCTTGGAGACTATTTAGTCACTGGAAGGGGCTCTGAGGTCCCTTTGGAGCCTTCTTTTCTGGGCTGGGTGACTTGAGCCCCTGCCCTGACCACACTCCAGGTTACTCCTTCAGGAGCATTCCTCAGATCCATTTGGATCAGTCCAGCAGGTTTGAATCCCTCAGCCAGTGACGTCGTGCAACTCCGAGACTTGGTGATTTATTCCAGGAGAACTGATCCATGTTGGCAGTTCATTAGACCTGCCCAAGAGTTGATTAAATTCCATTATGAGTCATTTAAAAAGTGCAGAAGAGCCAACTCCACTGATGAACTCCTGGAGTAATTTCTCCATAAAATTGTCACTGTGCTGGAATCACTTGGAAGTTGCTCAAAGCTAGATGGAGACGATAGAGGAAGGAAAGGTGATTTATTGTTTTTTTAACTGATTTTACTCCTTCTCACTCATTCCCCCATAACTAATCCCATAACTCCTTGCCTACTTTAGGAATTGTGCTCCTTGAAGTCTTCTGGCTCTCCAACCTGTCTCATTTCCATGGATCACTGGAGGACAACACTGATTTCTCCCAGTTTTGTGTCTCCTCATCCTTGTTCCTTTATCTCCAATCCCATTCTTTAGCTTTCCCTTGTAATTTTTAAATTTTGTTAATCTGCTCTCACAGTGATCAATCCTAGGAAAACTCTTGACATCCTCATGTGCTTTTGGATCTTGGTTCCTGTTCTGGGCCTGTCTTTGCTCCTTGTGGTCACTGGCCACTCCCACCTGGAGCTTCATCCGGCATCTCATAGAATGAGATCATAGAATCCTGGAATGGTTTGGACTGGAAAGGACCTTCAAAATCATCCAGTCCACCCCCTTGCCATTGGCAGGGACACCTTCCTTTATCCCAGGTTGCTCCAAGCCTTGTCCAACCTGGCCTTGGACACTTCCAGGGATGGGAAATCCACAGCTTTTCTTAAAACTTGGAATAATCAGGGCTCTAGGAAGGACTTTTCTCCTTCTGGGAGCATCATGTCTGAATTTTGGGATACAAACCTTGCTCTGCCTACTAATGAGCAGCCAAATGTGATGAAAGAATAAAATCTATCAGGAATCACCAGCTGCTCTTCCAACAAGGGGGATCTGTACTCACTTAGGGTGTGAAACAGGTTTGTGGATGAGCTCAGCAGCGATTGTGTGGTTTTGTATAAAACATTTTGTGCATTTTGTGACCCACCTCATGTCCAACCTGCCCCATCTGCTTTGTCTCCAGGTTTCTCCGTGGCACGTGCAAGAAGACGGATGGGACCTGTCCGTTTTCCCACAAGGTGTCCAAGGACAAGGTCTGTGTGACTTCCCAAGGGGAATATGGCTCTGTGTGCAAAGGGGTGGTTGCAGGAAGGTTCTTCCTCACTGAGTGCTTCCAGCTGAGTTTGGAGTTTCCTTGCTGAGCTCTTCAGGCTCCTGAATCGTGACAGACCCATGGAATGGTTTGGGATGGATGAGACCTTCAGGATCATCTCATTCCTGCCCCTCTGCTGTGGTCAGGGGCACCTTCCACTGTCCCAGGTTGCTCCAAGCCCCATCCAACCTGGCCTTGAATTTTTCCAGGGATGGGGCATCCACAGCTTCTCTGGGCAACCTGTGCCAGGGCCTCTCCACCCTGTGGCTGAGGTCTAGAAAAGACCTATGAGGTCTTAGAGGTCTAAAAAAGACTTCCAAGATCATCAAGTCCATTTAGTTGCTTCAAATCCTTCCCTACTTCCATAAGATCACATTTCCCTGGAAATCCCTCTGTGCTGGGGTCAGAGGATGTTTTAACAAACATAACTTGGAGGTATGAATGAATAAAAACCAATTCTAAAACGCCAAGCAGCAAAATCAGGTTGAAACCACGGCAAAACAACTTCGGAGTTCATCGTTTTCCACCTTCTTGGTGCACTTGGAGCTCTGTGGTTTTATTGCACAAGGTGGAAAAATAATTGAGGGTTTTAATTTTGGGTTTATCAGTGATGATTTAGCACTTCAGCCTGTGTTGAGTGGCTGGGCTCTCCACTTGGATGTAGCTTTGGAGACTCCAGCAGGGAAGCTGAGGTGCCTGTGGCTGAGTTCTTTGTCCATGGGGAGCTCATAAGTTACCCGGGAAGTCGCTCCGAATGACACACGGAGCACCAGATGTTTTTTACATGGATTTCTCTTCAGAGTCACTTAATCACCAGTACATAAAACAGGGATGGGGACAGCTGCATTCCCTGGCTCGTGGCATGTCAGAGCAGGAATGGGGATGAGGATTGATAGATGGAAAAAAAAAATTTGGGCTTTTTTTTCTTTTGTCCTGTGACAGCATCAGACTTTCAGAAATAAGGAAGCCAAGAATGAAGTTTTGCAGTTGGATTGGCTGTTGGTTTATCTAAAATTATTGTAATTAGCGAGGCCAACTACTTGTCATCCAAGTAAACAAAGTGCAACTCTCTGCCTGAACCTCTGAGGTGAAGGATTGAAATTCATCCACAGAGCCATAAACTCCAAATAAAATGGAATTTCAGAAGGTGGTGAAGTCTTTTTTGGTCCCAGGGCAGAAAACCTAAGTGAAACTTGGGAATTGGACACACCCAAGGAGCTGTTGCAGTTGGTGGTTTATCCACCAAAGAATGTTGGATGTGGGTGAATTTGTGGTCTCTCTACCCAGGAATATTCCTCGGCATGTTTAAATTCCTGATGGAGATGTGGCCTCAGTTTCCCCTCCAGGAACACTTGGTCCCTCAAGGAGGACCTCCAGATTTGGCTTCTGGGCTCTGGTTTGGGTGAATAAATAGAGAATGATGGAAAACTCAACCTTTAGCAGCACCTCACCAGTTTGAGAAGGATAACAGTGATACTGTGATAATAAAACCGAATTAAAAAGGAGTGACCATGTCAAGGAGCTGTTTGCCAATAGCATTTTGGGGACAGAATCCCTGGGATGGGATCCCGTGGATTGCAGTGACCTCAACCCATCTCACCTTTATCCTGAGCTAATGAAGCATCACCTAAACTCAAGATGAATAATTAATTAACAAATCAAAATCAAAGCAGGCAGCACCAGCTCTGAAAAGCTTCCGGAGCTCGTTTTTCCCGCCATGCTCCGTTGGGAAGGGGAATTATTTTTCACAGGATTAACCAACCTGAGGGTAGTTCAAAGGTCTCCCTGTTTGCCACCTTGTCATCAGCAAGGGCTGGAAGAGAAACAGACTCCTCCATAGAGTTCAAACTTGTTCCAGGGTGATTTATTGCCATGGGAATGCTGCTTCCTAAAGCGGGAAGCAACTTCACTTTCCAAGTCCTGGAGCTCCCCATTAAGCCGGGTGATTCTTGGCAAAGGTGGCTTTTCCCTCATTTATCAGGGCTGGGAAAAGCAGATGGAGGCACTCAGAAGAAGAAGGAAGCAGTTTTCCTCCTGCTCATGGAGTTTTTGGGGTAAATTCCCACCTTTTCCTCAGGTGAAGGATTGTGCAGGGTTGGTTTCTGGCTGTTTGAGTTGAGGTTTTATTGTGATCCATATTTTTTTCCATGTGGGATGATGTGGTGGTTTGGGGATTCCTGATTTCTTTGGTCCTATCGATTTCACTGTGTGGTTACTGGAGAGAGACATCCCAAAACCTCCTCATCAGAGAAAGTTCAGGTTGTTGTGTATCTCACCTCAGTGGGATTTCACTGGGATGGGATATCCAGACCAGGAGGTGAAGGATCAAAGGCTGGTGGGGCTTGGCTCTTGGTGTCAGGACAAAACTGTTTCTCAGCCTTTGTGCACTCCCATGCCTCAGTGTCCCTACTGAGAAATGGGAATAATCACTATTTTCTGGGGGGAAAAAAAAATCACTGTTTTCTACGGAAAACTGCCTGGATTCAGCTGTCACAGCAGCAGGGAACTTTTCCCTCTCCTAGAGCAGCAAACCCTTTGCTCCAAGCAGGGAATGGTCTCCAGGATGGAGGATGGCTCCAGATTGTCACGGAGCTTTGCAGATCCAAACTCCAGTGGTTTTCATCACCCTCTGGTGATGGAAGAAAGAACCTGGGGAAGAGGGAAAAGCTCTTCTTGTTCTGCCATCCCACTATCCCACATTGCTCCAAGCCCTGTCCAACCTGGCCTTGGGCACTTCCAGGGATGGGGCAGCCGCAGCTTCTCTGGGAAACCTGTGCCAGGGCCTCACAGTTCAAAGAATTTTGCTCCACAAGAGACTCAGGCAGAGCCTTTGGGTGCGAATCACCCGCTGAAGTGACACACAGGGAATTTTTCCACAATGGATCAGAAACACTGACACATCCCAGCAATGGGGAGAAACCAGGAAATCTGAAGGAAGCAAAGGTTGCGAGAGGCCGGGACTCGAGAAGCCGCCCGCTGCTGTTCCAACAGCTTTTCCCCTTGAGGAACTCGGAAAGAATCAGCATTTTTCTCCCTAATAGAGCTTCAAAACTCAGTTGTGAGCAATTTGGAGGCTCACGTGGAGTTTCGGGTTCATTTAGCTGCTGCCTCCAGAGCTTGTAGAGAGTCAAAGCTGTCGAAGGCGGCCGCAGCGCCCCAGTGCCTTGAATTAATGTTATTGTTATTTGTGTGGACGTGCTGGGGTGCAAACAAGGTTAATTGAAATGAGAGCGCTGCTTCCTCTTGATAATGGCTCGGGCTTGACAGCGAGGAGGAGTTTATTTTTGTCGGAGAGCTGCCTTTATTATCCCTTTTTATTAGAGCTAATTTGGGCTCTATATCAAAAACTACATTAAGGGAATCGTTTACGGTCACACCACCAGCACTGCCAAAGATCGCCCCAGAGCCCTGTCCTTTATGTTAATGTCTGCAGTTAAAAGACAATTAAAAATAAACTCTCCTCTTTTAAAGCACCCTTTGTTTTCTTTCCTCTCGGCCTCCAGTGAGGCAATTTAGTTCAACCCTTAATGTGCCCTTCAGGGATAAAGGATTTTTCTGGCTAGCCCCAGCCATGGTTATTGCAGGATTGTAAATATTACTTGGGGATGCCTGAACTGGTGGGACCAGGATGCTACCAGGTGAATGAGGAGATCAATACCACACCGAGCAGTGAGGAAATTCGGGATGTAGGAGCAGGAGGAGCCGGACCTTCGGGAAGTGCACATTCCAGGCGGCAGCTGCCTGGTCGGGGCGGGAAGCTGCCGGCGGTTGCCGGTGAGTTAAGGATGCTGAAATATGGCAGCAGGCTGGTAATTTGTTTTTAATGATAACAGCTGGCAGAAGGTGAAGTTTGTGCTTCGAGGACGACGAGGAGAATCCTTGCTCCGCCGGTTTTCCCCGTCGGCTGTCGCGCTGCGGAAACTCGGGAGCACGGGATCGGGGATCTGCTCCGTGTATCCCGCTCTGCTCTCCTTTGTCCAATGCTCAGGGCAGGAGACTGGGCTCTCCTCATTTCACTCCCTCCTGGAGCATCCCTGCCTGCCCCAGTGTGCAGGGACAGGCATCATAGCGCTGGGGAATTCCAGGATAATGCCTTGGAATGATGCAGCCCCCCCCCAAATCCTTGCAGAGGGGCTTTTTTCCCCCTTTCTAGGCACCACCTTTTGGAGACTTCATCAAACCCCTTTCCAGCCAGCTCCACAGAAGAGCCAAATGGGAAGCACCCCCAGGGTGCTGTTTTGGCCTTTGTGATGGCCAAAATTTCCTCTGGGGTGTTGGGATTCTCTCTGAGAATTCCCTGCTGGGTGTAATCCCTGCGCCACTTTCCCCATCTCCATCATTGCATCATTCCTTGCAAAAGATGTTTCCGGAATTTATGACATTTCCCTCTCCCTTCCCTACACTTTCCAGAGGGAATTTTCTTCCTGGTGGCAGTTCCCAGCTTTTCACCCTCTCTCCAGCATCCTGAAGGATGCTGAGGGAAGCGCCTTCGCTCCCTGCATATCCAAACACCGGGAACACGTAATACCAGGGAGCTGCCTTGCAGGAGACCAATGGAAGAGCTAAAAACACCTCTGGGATCGGTGGCTGGCAAAAGATTTCTATTTATTTTACGTTTGTCACGCTTTTATTTCAGGTCTGGGGGGTTGCAGTGATTCCGAGTCACAGGTTTAGGGAATTGCTGACGGATTTCTCCTCCTCTTTGCAGATGCCGGTGTGTTCCTACTACTTGAAAGGGATCTGCAGCAACAGCAATTGCCCCTACAGCCATGTCTACGTGTCCAGGAAGGCAGAAGTGTGCCAAGATTTCCTCAAAGGATATTGTCCCATGGGAGAAAAGGTAAAGAGGGATTTATCCCAGCTGTTGTGGGCCAAAGCCAAAGCCATGAGCAGCATCCTGTACCAGCTACGGCACCACAGGGAAGAGCTGGAAGCTGCTCAGCATCTGGATGTGATGAGCAACAGTCCTGTGCTTTTCCAAAAGGTTTTGGCAAAGTGGTTTGGTTGGGAAAAAAGAGAGAGAAATCAAAAGCTTCAGTTCAGCAACATGCTGACGTTTCCCTGGTAAGAGCCACCACGTGGTGTTCGTGTTATCAGTGTCTGAGCTGATGCACCTGCCCTGAAAAGCATCTGTTTCTCACAGAAACAGATGAAAAATGAAGGAAAATATTTAGTATTCCCTGTTTTACCTAGAAAACCCACAGGCATTAATGCTTATATTCCACTCTGTCTCCATGACAGGTTAAAACTTGAGCCTTAAATCCTGTGGCTTAGTTTTAGGAGCAAGACCAGCCTTGCTCAGCCAGCTCAGTGTCCAGCTGTGCCTGGGGGATTCATGGAGCCACCTCCAGGTCCTGGAGATGGTTTGGATCTGTGCAGTGGAGTCCCACACAGTCTTCACGTGCACCTCGGGGAGAGTTGCAACCTCACCCATGAGCTTTTGGTACCTGATGTAACATGGAAATTGTGGGAGCAGCTTTCCTGGAGCAGGGCTTGGAGCCAGCTGCCATTTGCTGTTCCAAAGGAATTTGGAAAACACACAGGATCTCACCTTTTCTGTGTCATGGCTAAGGGAGAGGGTTGGCCATGCTGGTGTTCCCTTGGGAATCCAAGTGACTGTCCTGACTCCTCTTTGACCTTTTCCAAATGGGTTATGGGTTATGGGATGGGATTTCTGCTCATCCTTGGACAATTGTGACCAGCAGGAATGGGGGGAAATTCTGCCCCTCTGCCCCACTCAGGTGAGACCCCACCTGCAGAGCTGCCTCCAGCTCAGCATCCAACAGAAGGAGGATGTGGAGCTGCTGGAGTGAGTCCAGAGGAGGCCAAAGGCTGGAGCCCCTCTGCTCTGCAGCCAGACTGGGAGAGCTGGAAATGTCCAGCCTGGAAAGGGAAGGCTCTGAGGAGACCTCAGAACCATTTCTAAGGGGCTAACGGGGCTCCAGGAGAGCTGGAGAGGGACTTTGGACAAGGGATGGAGTATGAGGACACAGGGAATGGGTTCCCACTGCCAGAGAGCAGGGATAGATGGGATATTGGGAAGAAGCAATTCCCTGTGAGAGTGGTGAGGCCCTGGCACAGGTTGTCCAGAGGAGTTGTGGGTGCCCCAGAGTGCTCCTATCCTCTTTTTCTCCATCCTGGTAGCACTCGTTTGCAGAGGTACAGCCCATCAGGAGAAGCCGTAGGTGCTCAGATCCCACCAGCGTGGCCACCAGCCTGTCCCAGAATCCAAACACAACGTTGGATAGAATCCTAACATCATTTAGGCTGGAAAAGACCTCTCAGATCATTGAGCCCAGCTTTGAATCCAGCACTGTCAAGTCACACTAAACCCCATCTGGTGCTTTCCTCATCCTTTCCCGAGGAGAAACCACCAAAAAGCAAAAACCAGGGAAAAAAGCCTAAAGTGAGAGTTTTAAGGAAAGCAGGACACCAGCAGCAGCAGAAGGAAGCTCTAATAAATTAGTCTGGGCCTAATTACTTTTTGTGGCAGCGTGTGGAGGGGGACTTGATGCAGGATAAACATTCCCTCAGAAGGAAAACACAGGCATCCTGCCACCTCCCTCCAGCGTAGCGCCAACCACGCAGGCAGGGTCCCGACAATTATTTTTAAAATATTCCAATTTAAATGAAAATATAAAAGAGATATTTAGAATATTTATTCTATTAGGAAAAGTGCTTACGGCGTCACTTTGGGAATGTCGGGAAAGCATTCTCCTCCAGATGATGGATAGCAGCCTGTAATTATATATGGGGAGAAATTGCTGAGCGGGCCATATTTAACTGGGGAGGAGAAATTCCAGCTTGGGCCATTAAGGGTTAATTTTATTCTCTAAATAATATAAAAAGTGCTGAGTCCGTGCCTTTGCTCCAAGTAGAAAGTCCTCAAATGGACCCCGGAGAGTTTATAATATTCTACTGAATCAAGGAAAAATGTTAACCTTGCTTCATAAAACGATGGCTTGTTAAAGATGCGCAGTCCCTTTTCTTGTGAATTATTTAGGATGGGAGTAAATCTTCCCTCGTTCTGCCTTTCCCTGTCCGAGCAGCGTTGGTTTGAAGCACAAAGAGCACGGAATGCGAAGGTGTGCAACTCCGGTGGAGCACCCTGGGTGGATAAACTCGCATGAGGATGATCAATAATTAGGAATTTAGGCTGTTTTGTGTGGATTTTTGGCACGCTGGGCTCCTCTCCCAGTTGCGTTTTCCTCTTTGTGCCCTCCCAGACAAACACAATTCCTGATTTTTAGCAGACCTCCATCAAAAATGTCCATTATTATCCATAATTTATGACGTGTCGTTGGCAGTGTTGTCTCTTAAGGACTTCCTAGGATCTGTTGCAGCATTCTCAGGACAAGTTGATCACCCTTTGACCCATTCCATGGATTGTAATTCCAGCTGATCTTCATCCAAATAACACCAGGACTGACCCGCTCTGGCTTCACCAGGAATTAAGAATTGAGTGAGAAAGCTTTAATTTTGCATTCCCAAGTCCTTTTTTCAGGAATGTGGATTGTAGAGGATCTAAATCCACCCTTGGAGAAGGGGACAGATCCAGTACAAGACCATGACCACATCCTTCGTAAAGGGAATGTTACCCCCAACATAATTAATTGGCCTAAAGTTGGACCTGATGATTTTGGAGAGTTTTTCCAACCTTAACAGTTCTGGAATTCTGTTTCCAGAAGGGAGCTGGTGGCAGAGCTAGGACCTTGGTGTCCAGCATTCCTACAGGTTCCTTGATCATGGGCTAGGAAGTTCCTCCACCATTTGTGCTTCCTAAAAGGATCATCCCTAAACACAACGTCAAACGTGTCATTAAAAGCCATGGAGTGATTCCCACCTCGGAGATCTCTGTCCCAGCTTTCCTGGAGCTCCCTGCCCTTCTCTGGCACCCTGACCTGGTCATGCTGGGAGGTCCCTCTGGGCTGGCCACCTGCGCTGGAGGAAGCCCCAAGAGGGAAGTGGGAAGAGAGGGAGAAATGGGGCCTCTTGCAGGTTCTTCCCAGGGTTTTCCGGAGATGTTTTCATGAGCTGCTCTACGGTCAGAGTTCCTCTGTGGTTCCACATCCCTCCTCCCATATGGAGCCTTGTGCAGGGCCTTGGAGGAGGTGGAGGAGGAATTCTCTAGGAGAGGATGGGATGAGGCTGGTGGGTGTGAGGGATGAGGAAGCACCAGTGAGTGAAGTGTCTGCAGTGACGTGACCCCAGAGCAAGGGACAACCAAGAGGAGACATTGGATGGAGACATTATGGATGGCCCATCCCTGGAAGTGTCCAAGGCCAGGTTGGACGGGGCTTGGAGCAACCTGGGATAGTGGAAAGTGTCCCTGCCTGTGCCAGGGGGTTGGAGCAGGGTGGGCTTTAAGGACCTTTCCAACCCAAACCAAATTTGATGGCAAAACATGGGCTGGGATCTCTGTGTGGCTGAGAGCCTGGAGCTGGAAGCTGATCCATTGATGACCCCAAGGAGCACCTGCCTTGGGATTTGCTTTTAGGCACAAAAGATGAAGGAGGAAAGATTTAGATGGGATATTGGGAAGAATTCATTCCTGTGAGGGTGCTGAGGCCCTGGCACAGGTTGCCCAGAGAAGCTGTGGCTGCTCTGTCCCTGGAAGTGTCCAAGGCCAGGTTGGACAGGGCTTGGAGCAACTTGGGATAGTGGGAGGTGTCCCTGCCCACAGCAGGGGTTTGGAATGAGATCATTAAGGTCCCTTCCAACCCAAACCACTCAACGATTCCATTGCTGCATCTGGAAAATTGTTTTGTATTAAATAATCTTCCTCACTCCGTGCCCATTAGTGCCAGAACTGCATTAAATCCCTCTCTCCGGATTGTTTCCATCGTCTGCCTGGGAGCCTGTGGGTAAATTGTTCCCTCATGGGAGCTGTTAAACAGTGAGACACAGTGAGATTAAACAACGAAGCTTCCCTGGAAAGGCATGGGGAGATGTACTGGAATAAATCATGGATAAGAGGAGAATCTGTTCCCATCCCTCTGGAGCCCCAACTGGCACGACCAGCCTTGTGATGGTGAGGCTGGACATGGGGAGCTGCCGTGGCAGGAGGGTTGAGCTGTGCTGAGACCGCTCATCCCAGCTCATCTTATTCCTAAAATCCATCTTTTTGTTGGACCAACAGCTCTGATTTCCACCTTATCTATGTAAAAAATATGGGACAGGGGCAGCACTGCCTGAGGAAGTGCTGCTTCCTTGGGAAGAATAATTTTCCTCCCCCAGGTGGAGCTTGGTGGTTTTTTGCAGTGGCAGCTGCTGGATTTTGCTGTAGAATATCCAAATGTGGGGATTTTTTTCTCAGCTGAAACCTCGTTCATGTGTGGCTTTTTGTGTGTTTGGTTGGTTATTTTTTCCTTTTCTGGAAAGTTCAGCAATTTCCCACCAGAAACGTAATGTTTTTGTGTGTCTGATACTTTCAGTTTAACACATTTCTTTAGAGAAAACCACATGAGCTGTGTTACAACAGTAAATATTAAATGTCTGTGGGGTTTTCTCTTAATTATCTAGTGATGATTAATGATCCAGGCAGCAGCCTGGGATCCTTATTTTCCTTAATCTTTTTTCATGGAAGGGTGAAGTTCAACACTGTTCATGCTTTCAGATCTCAGCTGACTTTTCTGGTTCAACCAGCATTTTTCTTTCATCACAGACATCAGATCTTGACATTTTGATCTCAGGTTGACTCCCAACCAGCTTGGCTTTTCCTTGAGGAACTCTTGAACACAAGTTTGTCCAGCCCTGGCACAGGCTGACCTGGCAAGTTGTGGAATGCTCATTCCTGGAGGGATTTAAGAGCCCTGTGGAAGTGGCACTTGTGGACATGAC